TGTGTGTGTGTGTGTGTGTGTGTGTGTGTGTGTGTGTGTGTGTGTGTGTGTTGGGGGGGGCATAATGAAAATAAATGTGGTCTGCTCAAGAGGGTCTTGAGTGCTTCAATAAAGGGTCTGAACTTAATCCAGTGGGCACTGGGGAGCCAGAGAACATGCAGGAGTAATGGAAGTTGTCCGACTTGGAGGAGGGAGAGCAGAGCATGAATAAAAGGATGGAGCTTGGAAACATCAGCTCTCTGCCTCTGGAAGTCCTGTAAGACAAAGCCTTCTCGGCCCTCCTATCTCTGTTCTGGGACTGCCCCAGAAGAGGCTACCAAGGCCTCCTGCGGCTCAAGGAGGGGCTTGGTACTCGCCAAAGGAACGTGGGGACTTGGTGGGAGGCCTTGCTCACTTCCATCTTGCTGGTCTGAATGGCAGAGGCTTGCCTTTGGGAACAGGGGGAGGGGAGGGTTGGGCCATTCGGGATAGCGGAGAGGTGGAGACAGCAGGAAGTAGGCAGCAGCTCAAGGAGCAGTGACTGGTGACTCATTGACCGTCAACCTGTCTCTTGGGGGCTGGAGGCCCATGAGATCAGGGCTTGTGACTCCTTCTGTGAGACAGGAGCCCAGATGCATAGCTTGGGACGGTTGGAGCTGAGTAGTGAGGGGCTCCTCAGATACTTCATGGGATTCGGATGTGGTCAGCAATCCAGCAGGCTGAGCTCTCTCTCTCTCGAGGGGCAGGTTGATCTAAGCTGGTGATTTAAAAAACGAGTTTGACAACACAGAGACAAATCAGAGTCCTGGGGCACTCCACTATGGACCCCTCCAAGTTGACTAAACGGTTAATGACTCCGGTCTGGCCATTCCCCCACTTCCTGGCCCCCATAGTTGTCCCTTCCTCTCACCACTCCCCCTCCACGGAAGCACGAGGCCTCTGGAGGCTCTCCAGGAAGCCAAGTCAAGCTCACTGGCCTTGTCTGTAGGCTCAGTTCTCACATGCCTTTCTCTAATCCGGTGGCTCCACCTGCACTTTCCCTGATCTTCCAAATATCCAGGGCCATGGCTCAGTAATTACATTGGCCCATTCTGTCAGCACCTGAAGACTGCACTCACCCACCTGAAGCTGGCTGGATGTCCCCTTACAGTCTCCTTAAGTGTCTAGCTAACCCTAGAACTGTGCCTGGAACATAGTAGATGCCTAATAGATGCTCGTTGATCCAAAGATCTTTGGTTTGAACTCCCTGTTAGCCAGCTGTGTTCTGCATTCTCTTCCTCTCTGTTCTCAGTCACCAATAATCAATCAGCTGGAGAGTCGGCTCTAAGTGAGCAAGACCTGGGTTCAAGTCTTCACCTCAGACCTCTCTCAGTGTCCCCAGGAAGTGCTCCAAGACTCCGTGTGGGAAGGAGCCATGAGGGGCTTCCTCACCTGGAGCTCCCCACACCTGTGGAATCCTGTCTAGTGCCTTCCTCTCTCCTTCTCCCCACCCCCTTCCCCAGGGTTTACCCAAGGGCACACAGAGACAAAAGTGAGCTGATCCTTGACCTGAAGGAAGGAGCAGAGGTTTGAGCTGTTATCCCTGCACCCCCAGGGCTGAACCCTTTCCAGCCTGGAGAAAGATGAGGGCATTCTCCACACTAGGAGAAACCTTCCTTGCTTTGCTTTCAGCTCACTCTTGTCTTAAAAGAAACCATTCTTTCTAAGATAAAATGTTTCATCTTTGCTTTACTGAACTGTGTTTAATTTCTCAAGAGAAAGATATCAAGGTGTAAGGCAGCAGGGCAGATGGGGTGGAGGCATAACTTCTGGTCCCTTTCCTGGTAGGGGGATTCGGAGGTGAACAAAAGAGAATCACGGATTCAGATTTTCATAAAAATCCCAGTGCAGTGAACCGAAGTCAAAAGCACACAGATATTGATCCCCACCCCACACCCACAAACAGGCAAGTCATTTGAACTGGTTGGAAGAGGATTTGGCTGGTTTGGGAGGAGGTGTCTTGGCCTGGACCCTGTTCCCTTTTTCTGAAGGAAGCTGACTAGTGAGAAAGTCATGCATGTGTGTGTATGTGTGTGTGTGTGTGTGCGTGTGTGTGCGCGCAGCACTTCACAAAACCTGAGGGAAAAGTACAGCATTTCATTGGGGCCAGTTCTGACCAACCAAAAATCAACTGGGGCAGACACCTAGGCTGGTGAACCATGAATTGCCCAGTGTGGGAGGACACTGAGATGCTTTGAGATGTAGGTCCCAAGGAAGCAATAGTCAGAGGGGAGAAAGTCAGAAAGTGAGCAATAGGGGGAAATAAGGTGTGTGTGGGGGGAGCCTAGAAGTACCAAAGATCTCAGGAAGAAGAAAACTCAGACTTCATTTCAATTAATCATTTATTTATCTTCCTATCTATGAATTTATTCATTCATCCATTTATTTACTTATTTTAACTCAGACACTTTGAATATAAATAGATAAATCAACAGGGAAAACAGGAAGAATAGGAGGAATTATGGCCTACAGATCAGGCATTTATGAGTAAACACTGAAAAATGAAGGAAAACGATTCAATGTCCGAAGAGACAGAGGACCCTGTGGAATGTGAGGAGAACCTGTCTCCTGAGTGGTTTAGAAGAGAAATGAGAAGTATGTGGGCAGAGCTTATGTCCTGCACAGCAAAAGTAATGAGTAGAATGGAGACACTTGAATATGCCATGGCTCACCATGCCTCACCAAAGAAGCAAAAAAAAAAAAAAAGGATTGTAGGTTGGGCATGCAAATACACAGAAGTGAAGACCACCTAGGAGAAGAGAAGCAAAACCCAAGAACATTAAAGGAGAATCTGCTCACCGTTCATTTCTATCTCCAAGACAGGGCACATAGAGACAACCAAAGGATCATGGGTTTCCCAACATAACGTGACAGAGTGGAAAACCTTAACACTGAGAAGAGAACGGACGGACAAAATCATGAAATTCCAATCAAAAGAATTCACAGATCACCTCCAGACAAAAACACAAGGGTGCAAACTCTGAGACACACAATGGTTAAATTTCACAACTCAATTAAGTTCTTTAAGCCATCAGGAGAAAGGCCTTCAAATACAAAGGAAAGGACATGCCAATAATATAAGACTATTCTGTACCCACTCGAGAAAGGAGAAGGGGATGAAATAATGTTTTCTGAAGAGCACTGGAGGTGCTCAGGATGAAGCCCAGGGTGACCTGTCCTGCAAATTTAAGCTTACATATACAGGACAAAAGATGAACATTCAATAATAAAGAAGAATTTGAAATGTTTTACAAAAGAAAACCAGAAGGGACGAGATCATTTGCCTCTCAAACAACTCAAACAACAGGAATGCAGCAGAGAATAAACCTAGCAGCTAAGGATAGCAACAGAGACAGAGACTGGGGAAGGCAGAAATCTGGCAGAGGCCACAGACAGGAGGTGGAGGTGGAGGACATTAAGGACAGACTCAGTGACCCCTGCTTACAGGTGAAGACCTCTTC